AGGCCTGTGGCAACGGAGTAACAGTACTTTCAGTTGGTTTCTGTGTGAACCGGTTACAAAATAGCACTAGTTGAAAATCGGGAATTTTCCGCTGTGTGCTCGGTAGTTTGTATCTCTACATACAAATATGTATAAGCAACCAGCAAAAAAAATGAACTGAATGGGCTCTACGTAGCCCTGAAATTGTTAGTGCTGCCATAGCCATAAAAAAAATCTTGATCTGGATGCTAATAAATATAATTAAAACTAAAACCAGTCTTTTTTATTTTGTTTTGCAATCTATTTATAATACAATCAATAACACATTTTCAATGTGTAAAATATTTATTTCAATTATTAAAATTGGATCTAAATATATAAAATATGGAAAATGTTGCAAGGAGCACTGTCACTTAAACAAGAATATCTCAACATTGAAATATGCAAGTAAAATAAAAGTTTTAAAAAGGATAGGCTAACTAGCAAAAGACTATTTCTAAAAAGATACTTCATGTTGCTCAAGCATTAATTAAATTCATACTGAAAATACGTTATTAGTAAAGTTAATCAAACAGGGATTTCTGTTATTAAAAGAGGTTATTTCCATGCTATCCGAATGTCTTGTATAAATTGTACTTAAAGCTGAAGCTGAATTCTGAACAATTCTGAACAGAAAAGTTTGGTAGCTGCGCAGTTTTGACATTCCCGGTATAATCATTAGGTCGATTTCAAACCAGTTAATTATTAAATGGAAGCTTATTCTTTACTTGAACTTTGCAAATGATAAGTATCTCAAAATTTCTTTAGTCCTATCAAATACATTTTTTTTATTCCTATGGATAGTAGTATTCACTAAATGGCGATGTTCATTAAATATGCATCAAGAAGTCCAGTTGTAGTTCAGATTTGAAGATGGTGGCACAAATTAAAATGCATTGTTTGTTCTTTCTTGAACTAGATCTAGATTAAAAAAAATAATTTAAGAATGAAGCCAATTCTAAAGTCTATACTTTGTTGCTCCAATGAGCACCCGCTCACATTTTCTCGCCGGAGGGAGAAAAATCCTGACATCATTGAGGCGTCACAGAGTTCACTTTGATTTAGATATCTGTACCCATACGACATAGCAAGAACATTTTTAATTCTATTTGAGATTGTTGACAACATCGCTTACTGGAGGTTATTAGAGACCAAAGTATAGTCCTATATCATAGAATTGTTGGTACAAACCACCATTTAAAAAAAGATTCTATTGACCCATTTTCGGACACAGTTGAAAGTAATCCACCAAAAAAGCTTTAAAATCCACAAGAAAAAGGCCAAACATTAAAGCTACAAAATGTAATGAAGGTAATGTGTAGCTTATTGCTGGGAATAGTGTTCCATAACAACACAGGTCCTAATTGCTATTTTGTTCTGCCTAATTACTATCTTGGCATTCTGAATTTTGATAGGCTTTAGGCTTGCATACCTCTGCTGGTACTCAAGATATAGAGTAAATGTAACAACCTTGAACACTGTGACCTGAAAACAAGACCTGTTCAGTGTGTGTCCTATCCTTGTTTTAGGCCTATCCGTTCCATTGCTAAGTAAATAGTAGAAAAGTGTATCCATTACAAGTTAATATAAAAAAATGTAAAAAAACTTGTTGCTGTCTGTTTAGCCACCCAAAAATATATATTTAACCGAGCTTATTTTTACAAGCTTTTATTTAACTCACTTCCTCTGTCTGTCGTCAGTCTAGATGGAAACGCAGGAGTGAAAATTCGGAAACTTCTACTTGACCGATACGATTCACATTTGGCACGTGGGTCAAGACATGAAGACAATGCAATCTGAAACTAAATTTGACTTAATTGGATGCCTAATTGATTTTTAATGAATTAATTAAAATTTGGACCGAATTAGTAGGCATATCTAGCCAACCACACCACACGCGTCATCACGTTCAATAGCTGCGCCATCACTTTCAGTAGGCGCGACTTCACGTTCAGTAGGCGCGCAATGGTTTTTAGTCATGTAACTCTATCTATATATATAATTCTCTTCTGGGAGCCATTTGAAAACAAGCTGCAAGCGCGCCTTACAGTCCCCTCTCTTCCTCTCTATCGCTACCACCCCCACCCCCTCACATGGACTGGTGAGCTGTGGTTCACGCTGTTTACATTTTACAATCATAGAGACGGGTTTGGTGACGGCCAATAAAGGGCAGATAATTTAGTTTGAAAAGATTTTAAACATAGAGGAGGTAACTAAGAGGAGGCTGCTTTCACGGGGGGGAGGGGGGTTTAGTGTTTTTATGCAAATATTTTTAGTGGAAGCATTGGTACTGTCGAATTCACAAATTATGAATTACTGAAAGGTAGAAAAAACAACTAAATAGCGGCGTATGATGCGCAGCGGGTCGGCTCGTTGTAAATAAAACATGTAAAGTACTGAAAAAAAATTCATAAAAAAACGTTTTAATAACAAGCTTTTATGTACTAATGCACTAAAAAGTAGAAAATAAATTATAGACTACTATTTAAATAACTATAAAGAAAAGCGTGGGTCTCTTCTCAAATATTAGTAAAGGTATAAAATAGGTACTAAAGTATTAAGGGTAGACACCACGGATAGATTTTTTTTTTTAATTTAACGCATTTCTGGGTATTTAATAAGTACATATGTTAGTAGTTGTTAGGCTATAGACAAAAATAATATATGGCCGTCAATAGCAGTACTGGTTGCCATGGGAACCGCGAAAAGGTGTGAAAACTAACACCTTTTCAAATCGCTAAGGCTTTGTTCCCATAAGAGATTTTAAAAAGCGGATGAAAGATTTAGATTTACGAAACCAAACTACACATTTCTACGTTTGTTCATTGCGATAGCTTGTACTCAATTTTTATTACAAATTTTTACGTAAATTTATGTACAGAAATTAGGGGGTGGTGTCACATAAGTATTGATATTTTCTAAAGTATTGTAGTAAACTTAATGTACAAACGTAGTTTTGTAGATGGTATAATGCTAAATGCATGTGGAATGTTTCAGTGCTGTTACACTAAGGGTTCCAAAGCCTTAGCGATTTGAATGTTGAATTTTGAGTAAAAATGCAAAGTTGAGAAAACGTGAAAAGAAAGGCAGAAAAAGGCACTGTGCGTTTCCTCTTATAGCAAACAGAAAATGACTTCTTGTTATGTGTGGAAGAACCATTTGGCTAATAAAATACGCGTTGATTCATGTTGTAAGTTTAAGATAGATTTGTCTGTGTAAGCAGAAAATATGCATACAACAGGTAATAAATTAATGACTGTTAAGTCTTAAACATCCTATCATTCGATTGTTATTCTCAGAACAGCTATCATCAAACCAGATTAAGTTTTGTTTGTTAGTCGGTCTTCTCACGTCAATAGAATGTCTATTGTAGCTTACACAAGTTTATTGCCTTATGATAATAGCCTACTACACAACGCTGGGTACAACGCTTGAGGTTAGACACGCCCCTTCACCCCACCCCACCCCACCGCTGGATAGTGCGTGAAGAACCGATGAGCCATAGATTACCAATGTTCATTCAACCGTGAATAATACGTCTGTGTAGATAGGGTCAAGTACAGGGCCTAAGTGAATGCTTATCAGCTATCCCATCTAGTATTTACATTCGATGCTAGCAAACCCTGTACGGAGAGATGGGCGGGCATACACATTAACACATGTGTCGTATACAGTCCGGTGTAAAGCCTGATGAACGCGTTCAAGCCTATCACAGCATGCCGTAACAAGATTATAAACCGGCCGTTGGTTGAATGGCGAGAAGGGGATGAGGGGGATAAAGGGGATGGACAGTACATTCTTCAAACTGATAGATCTGTCCATGACGCATTGTTTCAGCTTAGTATAATAAAGCGTACGAAACAGTGTTTAATAGTGTTCCAGTGACAATCAACAGTACATTTCTAGGCAAAGTTTCAATTATTAAACTTAATGTTGTTCTATAACTTTAAAACAACAAATAAAAGAGTATATGCAAATAAAGTAAACAAACTAAGACAGGCGATTGTTTTGTTTATGTAGAAACAAGATGGCTGCCTAGCACACGTGGTTAGTTGCAACCTATCGCAGATTATTTTGATTTACTGTACTATTGTATGATTGGTCAAACGTATCAATGAATCTCTTCCCATTCATTATTTTTACGCGCATGCCCTTATATGGAGTTTGACATCAAATTTTACATGGTAGAAAACAACGTTTATCCCACTTATTTGTAGAACAAAAGAAAAGGTCACTACACCAGCGGGTACACGAGTGCTTGGCCCTTAGATAGCTGTAAAGTTTATGGTGCCTCGCGGGCAATAAATTATGTAATACTCGCTCGAAGATAGCCGTTGTCCACGTAGTAGTGTGAAAACTTGCCGGGGGGTACCATGTTTCACATGGCAATAAACGGATAACCGTACGGCGTAGAAGTCCGAAATGTTCGGGTTAGATAGACAAAAGGTATTAGTACCGAATTAAAAAATAAAAATTTTGGGGAGCAAAATTATTTTTTTATCGAAAACATGGGTATCTTGTATCCTTAAAGTGACCCACACTTTTCTTTATAGTTATTTAAATAGTAGTCTATAATTTATTTTCTACCTTTTAGTGCATTAGTACATAAAAGCTTGTTATTACAACGTTTTTTTATGAATTTTTTATGTTTGAGCTTAAGACTGCTAACTAAAAAGCCTTGAGTTCAGGTACCAGCTGTGAGTCACCCGAGTTGACCCATCCTTCGTGTTTATCTGACCCAGGTTAGGGACAGGTGGCTGAGCATTGAGTTATTATACCTTCATTATGCCCCATGGACAGCTACATAAAACTATTTGATCAGCGCTGTCCCCAAGTATTTTATTCGACATTTGTGTAGACATCTACTAAAAAAATTTTTTTAATGTACACTAACCATGTGTAATAATAGATGTTTTGTTTTTGTACCACCCCACTCTAGTGTATAAATCCTTACTTACTAAACCTTACTTTTCCTCTTAAAGGCAATAATGCAAACAAAAAGAGGAAACTCTCAGACACTGGCCTTCAGCAGGTGACAGCTAAGAAACAATTTTCAACACCCCAGCTAACAAAGTCACCAAGTGCACAAAAACAATTTCAGAAGAATGCCACTCCATTGAAAGGCCAGACTCCAATCTCTAAGGCAAATAACAAAGCAAATAAGCAGACTCCTCTACAGGGAAAAAATAAAAATGGTCCTCTTAAACGGAAGTTAAGTGAAGATGATGATGATGAAGATGATGATGATGATGATGCAGAGGAGGACCAGGAAGAAGACAGTGATGAGGTAGAAGTAAATGAAGATGAGGATGATGAGGAAGAGGATGACGAAGATGATGATGATGAGGACGATGACATGGAAGATTCCCAGCCTTCAAGTAAAAAGGTTAAATTAGACACTGCTCAAGGTACAAAACAGACAAAAACACCAACCAAAACTCAAGCAACACCTAAAAAGTCAGACTCACAAACAGCCACTACAAGTCAAGCTGCACTTCAAAAGACAGACGATTTACAGGGTAAGTATTCAATTATTTTTTATTTTATTTTTTTGCAAACCCCCACAGAATAGGTGCATTTTTTAAAAGTAAGTTGGTCCTTTCATTGAGCTAAAAGTTTTATCATTACATTGTTTTTTTTTCAGAATCTGCAAATTTACAATCTCCAGAGGATAAAAAAAGGAAAAGTAAGTTTTTCTACTCTTTCAATATTTAGAATATGTTATACTTACGCATACAGATAGCTTTTATAATTGGTTTGTCATATATGATAGGCCATTCGTTATTTCAATAACTCTGTTCATCAATATTCTTCAAAAATAAAAAGATTACATCTTTCATATATATATATATATATATATATATATATATATATATATATATATATATATATATATATATATATGAAAGGCCGTACATTATTTCAATAACTCTGTTCATCAATATTCTTTAAAAAAAAGATTTACATCGGTTCACTCTTATATATTGTATTTGCAGAAGATCTTGATTCTAAAACATTGTTTATTAAAAACTTACCTGGAAACTGCACTGTCAAAGAAGTAAAAGCACTTTCCCAGGATATAAAGCAAGTTCGGTTGAGGATCAATGCCAATTTACTCAACAAAAAAAAAATGAGGACAGGGTGCGTATTCATTTTGTTTAATGTAATTTATTAAAATGTGTTAAAGGTAGGCTACTCTGCCAGATAATTTGTTTCATTGCATTTGTACCTATTTCCACTAGTTATCTCTAGTTAATTATGTATTTGTAATAAGCATAATATGGTATCACCAAGTTTATTTAAGCACTAAAATTTTGTTGCTGTTGTGTATGGGAAAGGTTATTTGTCTAACTAGAAAATCACTTAAAGTTGCTTTGTTTTTTGTTTTCTGAAAAAACAATTCAGAATCTACAGATTATTTTTAGATACCATGTGGTTCGGCGGATACTACATTTATTTAAATGTACAAAAATTATGACATTTCTATAGATTAGAAAAACTAAACATTTATTATCAAAAGACTAGGTGTACATTTTAGGTTTTATTTTATTATCTAAAATGGTGCCCATATGGTCTATTTTCAGATATGCTTATGTTGAATTTGCAAATGAGCAGATAGCAGAGAAAAACTTCCCAGTTTTAGCAGCTGCAGTTTTACATGGAAACAAATTGGTTGTTGATTATGTGAATGAAAAAAGCACCTATAAAAAAGCTGTAAAGAAAGTTGAATTAGGTAATGTAATCATTGTCTCATGTCATTTTTGTTTATAATTAATTACTGACACGTTACTTGCATGGTTCAGAAGTAATCTCTTACTTAATCTCTTAAAAAAAAGCAATTATCTTCGGAGTTTAGGCTTAAGGAATGCACAGTAACAGGGAAGTTAAACAGTCATATGCAATTAAAAGCTAGGCCTTATTTCTATTGTAAACATAAATTTTGTTTAGTACTTTGTGCTATTAAACCAATTGAACAGTGATAGGATTAATTAGTACAGCTTTTAAAATATTTTTTAAATAGGAGTTAAAAAAACTTTCATATAGTTTTTGTATAAAGTAGAAAAATATTTTTAATGAGCTTGAATTTTATTATAAATTAAATTTTCTTTTGATTTCTTGACTTGGTCATCTTTGAACTTTTTCCCTATTGATAAGTTTGAATAACATGTAAAGATGTTTTTCATGTTTGAATAACAATTGAAAGTTTCCATTTTGTTTTGCTATTTTTGTATAACAGTTTTTTTTTTAAACAGCCGAGTATGATCCTTTGAGACTGTATGTTGCTGGGTTACCTGCTGATGTCACAGAAGCAGAAGTTAGGAAAATATTCCCCAAAGCCTCTGAGATAATATTACCCATGAGGAAGAAAGACAAAAATTTATTTGGGTAGGTTATGTTTATAAGCTTTTGTAGTGTGCTATGAGTAGGATGTCTCCCATGTATGTCAGGGAAAAGAAGTATGGTCTCATTATTTAACCCCTGGTGTCATAAGGGCACGACAGTTGGTTTTTTTTTTTTCATAACATTTTGCCACGGTTCTTGGTCTTCGGCTGCTCTAAGTAATTCTGCAACAGGCAGCTAAGTCCATCCCTCCATCCTGTGTAGTCTAAAATTTCTAAACCTAATGTGGCTATTACTATAGATGCATTTACGTTAGTACCAATAGACAGCCTGGTTGATAGGTTGAAATGTGGTTAACTTGCTACAATTATGTAGGTATGGATAATCTATAGGAACTGAAACTGCAGTGGGTTTTTTTCTTTTTTTTTTTGAGTATTTTATGTTGTCCCTGGGTTGTTTCTGTTCGTGTTCACCTAACTTAAACACAGTCTGCGAAGAGAAGACTAAGCCTACTGCTAAGATCCTGCATTCTCAATCCATCACCGTCATCTAATTTTTCTTGCAGTTATGGGTTCGTTAGTTTCTCAAGTCCTGATGTAGCCAAACACTATCATGATTCATGTCAAGGCATCAGTCTAAAGGGCATGACATTAGTTGTCCTCTATGCTAAGAAAAGAAATCCTGGAAAAAAAGAAGAAAAGAAGAAGCCAGTTACAAAAAGTAAGTGCAAGCCTTCATTCTAATTCTGAATTGGCTATTGAATTCAGGTTTTTTTATTTCTGATGTAAAAATTTATTTTGTTCGTTTAGTTTTGTTGAGCAGTTCTACAAGTTACTTAATTACAGATATTTTTCTCTTTGTCTCTGATTTATTCTTCTAAAATTTTGTTTACAGAAGCAGCTGAGAATGAGAATACAAATAACAATAACAAAAAGAACGAGAAGAAGAAAGGACAGGTAAATCAACTTAAATGTCTAGATTAGTTTTAACCAGTGCTAATTTGGTTGTAATATTTTACTACAATTGCTTTAACACATTATATTTACTATTTGTTTCTTTAGATCTACTAAAAAAATAAAAAACTGATATTGTAGGTAATAAAAAAAATTGGCTGATATCAATACTCCTCAAAAATACATTTTTTGCATATATATATATTTTTAAAATCTTCTTGTGAATCTAAATTGAAGAATTCATCTTTTCAAAGTGACCACTTCTATAGTTCCTCCCTCTGTTTAGAATTTGTTTTTCTTAGTAAAAAGAATCGTCTAGAAATGTCATTAATGGTTTTAATTTTCTAGTTGCATTATATAACTTTGCTACTTGTGTTTAGGTAAAGAAGACTGAGGAAGAAGATGAGGATGATGATGACGAGGATGACGAAGATGAGGATGATGATGACGAAGATGAGGATGATGATGATGAAGAGGATGGTGAGGGCAATGAAAAAGAAACAGCTGATGATGATGATGACGACGACGATGATGATGATGATGATGATGATGATGATGATGATGACGACGATGATGATGATGATGATGAATAGCCTTGAGATTTTTTAAACAACCTGTTATTTGTTTTATAGATGAAATGCATTTTAACATACATACAAATACATTTTTAAATGGATAAAAATGCATTTTATTAACATCCATTTTACAAATAAATTTTTGACTTAATATTTATCTTGAATTTTTGTCAATTCTTATATCTGAAACTTCAGAGAGCAAGACGAAGTGATTGTGAGTTTTGTATTTATGGTTTGAATAACTTATTAAAATATTACTAATTTAATGCATCGAAAATCTGCAGGAAGTAATATTTATGCAATAAAGGAGCATGTTATTATATCACAAAAGGAATTTTTAAAAATCGCAAATTGAAAAAAATAAACCAGGAGTAATCTCCCCTAAACTTTCTCATACTCTAATATAACTGTACGGGGGATGGCAACGCAGGATATAGACATGATTTTTAATCCATTTTTAATTATACTTTTTAAAATAGAATAGAATCTCATTGAAAAAATAATTGCGCACCAAGTGAACGCTAAAGTACAATACTGTGGAATATTATTTTATAGATTCATGAGTTTTTTGAGAATTCGGATCGTCCAACGGAATTTCTCAAAATTTGACAGAAGGCCGATTATTAGATATTTTACTTACATGTGAAATTTCATTTATCTATCAGAAACAATACTCAAGTTATAGGCTTTTGGAAAACTAAAAGTAGAAAAAGTTCCACTTCCGGAAATCGCTGTAAAGTTGATACAAATTTGATATAATACTTAAATGTGAAATTTCATCAAACTAGCTATAACGGTACTCAAGTTATCGTGTTGACAGACACACACACACAGACATAAATTGCAAAATTGTTTAAGGGGTCATCCATAAATGACGTCACGCTTATTTTGACGATTTTTACCTCCCCTCTGTCACAAAAAGCCAGAACCTCCCCTAAAATGACGTCACACCTCAGCCTACACCCCCCCCCTCCAAATTGCTGTTGAACTTTTCTTATCGATATTTTTCCAAAATCTTGTCTGAACTCTGTCAGCATAGAGTATTTTGATCAATTCCTATTACAATTTATTAAAACCGTTTTCTAAATCGCGAAATAACGTCTAAAACTCGTTTTCTAACATTGCTTATCACACACCGTCACAAAATTACGGACCCCCTCCTCCCTACGTGTGTGACGTCATTTATGGACGACCCCTTATAGACTCAGGGACGTATATAATATCAATTTCGATTTTTTGCATGATTAGAATACTTCCTCTATACTTCGTATTCGAGAAAGTAGAAAAGGCAGACCCCTCATAACTATTTTCAATTATGGGATATAGATCTAGCTATGGTAGGACGATTTGACTAAAAATATTGAGTAGTGTCCCTTTGTAAAAAAAAACAACTGCCATCAAGTTTGCAGCACTTAAGATCTCCTGCCTTTAAGTCAAACGAAGTGGCCAGGGAAAGTATAACAATGAAAGTCACAACAATTGTTTTCCCATTATTAATTAATACACACCACAATGCCTAGATATTTATTTATATTAAATAATATAAATTCCCTTAAAACCACAACACACTGACTTAATCCAAATAAAAAATACAAATGTTAACTAAATTGCTTTACTAATACCATATACGTAACTTATTCTCTGTCCAAAATCTGCCCCTCTCTGCCCAATATCTGCCCCATATATGTGACATATTCTCTGTCCAAAATCTGCCCTATATATAACATTCTCTGTCCAAAATCTGCCCCATATATGTAACATATTCTCTGTCCAAAATCTGCCCCTCTCTGCCCAACATCTGCCCCATATATGTAACATATTCACTGTCCTAAATCTGCCCCATGTATGTAACATATTCTCTGTCCAAAATCTGTCCCTCTCTGCCCAATATCTGCCCCATATATGTAACATATTCTCTGTCCTAAATCTGCCCCATATATGTAACATATTCTCTGTCCTAAATCTACCCCATATATGTAAAATATTCTCTGTCCAAAATCTACCCCATATATGTAACATATTCTCCGTCCTAAATCTGCCCCTCTCTGCCCAACATCTGCCCCATATATGTAACATATTATCTGTTAAAAATCTTCCCCATATATATAACATATTCTCTGTCCAAAATCTGCCCCATATATGTAACATTTTCTGTTCAAAATTTACCCCATATATGTAACATTCTCTGACCAAAATCTGCCCCATATATGTAACATTCTCTGTCCAAAATCTGCCCCATATATGTAACATTCTCTGTCCAAAATCTGCCCTATATATAACATTCTCTGTCCAAAATCTGCCCCATATATGTAACATATTCTCTGTCCAACATCTGGCCTATATATGTAACATATTCTCTGTCTAAAATCTGCCCCATATATGTAACATATTCTCTGAAAAAATCTGCCCTATATATATAACATATTCTCTGTCCAAAACCTGCCCCATATATGTAACATTCTCTGTTCAAAATCTACCCCATATATGTAACATATTCTCTGTCCTAAATCTGCCCCATATATGTAACCATATTCTCTGTCGAACGTACTGCGTACCTATAAATGGATACTTTTCATTTTATTCCTATCTTCAGCTTGGATTACGGTATTCGATTGACTATAGACTAAAGTCGGTTGCCGAGGGATCAAATACTCTCTTCCTTTTGTTTCGCTCTCATTCCGTTTACTTTTTAATAACACGCCGTCCACTAATGATGTCATACTTCTAGCGCTGTTAGTGTGTGTGGTTGGGGGGGGGGGGGGGTTGTTTAAGAAAGCGGCGTAGAACATTTGCATTAAAGATTTTTTTTTAGCGCAATTTCCATACGGACAATTGCGATTATTAACTCGTTATTTCTGGATGGATGTATGGATGTGTGTCCGCAATGGATGGATGTGTGTCCGCAGCTTTAAGTCGTATCTCCTCCTCAACGAAGCAATATCGAGGACTAGTTGCAAAAGCAAATATGTTAAGCAAGTTCCGAGGATGATTGTGGGCCAAAAAAATTCCGGAATTCCTTCCTGGATTTCCCGGAAAAGCCAAAAAACCTCGAAAAAATGCAGTTTTTGGCCCATATCTTGGCAACCAGACCACTTAGCGACTTGAAACATTTACCAATCGATTCCTGCCATAATTTAGAACAATATTGCCGAAGAAAGTTTTCAAAAATATCCTTTCGTTCGGTCACAATTTAAAAAAAAAAATTACATAAACACCTACAAACCGATCGTTCTCCTAGCTTGAACGCACCCCAGCATTATACGTCTTGTGTTTTGTCCCCGTGTGTGCTTTACGCTACGACAGAGCTACGGGTTATGAACATAATACAGATCACTATCTATTTTTAGATAACAGAAGGAAATTGCGCTTAAATTGTCACTAGACTTTTTATTAACTTGTTTAACTCATACTTTCTTTTAATTTTTGTTAATGTTTAAATTTTTCGTAGGAAAGTTTAAGACTATTTTTTTTAACAAGTAGTGGTGTAGTGGTTTGAGGGAGACGGGTGGGGGGGGGGGGGGTATAAATTGGCCATAATAGATGATTGCCTCTGAACCGTTTTCAAGAAGTAGTTAGCACACCCAGTCAAGACCGTACCTGGAAGTTTTGCTAATAATATCTGTAGTTCGAGATATTTATTTATATTTAAACGACGCACGATTGTATTGAAAAGACAAGCAATCTTACCAATCGAACCATTCTTACCTTTATAAAAGGGGCGGCTACCACAAGACATGTAGTATCTTGTTGCAGCTCGCGATCTTAACGGGAGATAACCTCAATGTAGGTCACGGGTACCAGGCTCGTGATGATAGCTGATTAGCTCTCCAGCCTAAGAAATCATTATCAAGTTAGGACTTTATTTTTTTTTTACTGTTCGATAACAGATTACAAAAATCACGTGATGGTCAGACTTTCATGTGTGATCTTTGTAGTTTTTCTTTTGAATCAGCTGATTGGACTACACATCGATGGTTCCTTTTGGGTTATACAGGGAGAATGTGTTGGGTTTGCAGAAGATGAAAGTGCAGGGCTTATCTGGCAGCTTCCGGGGGCCCTTGCTAATTAGGGGTGACGGGCAATGTTCCCTCTAAGGACCAAGAGTGTGTGTGCAAAAAATATGTAGTGTGCGCGGTGCTAAAAATGACTTGGGCAAGTTAATATGTATTTTTAGTCTTGCAGTTAAGCATAATAATGAAGGCATGCATTTTGATAAATTAATAGTATAATGTGTGTAACTAATGAAACGTATGCAATTAAATAGAGATACGAATACCATCAAAATAAAAAAAAAACAACTAATAAAAACTTTCAGAGTTATACTTAGACAACAAGTTATATGGTCGACTTACTATGTTAAAGTAAGACAGTCATATGGTAATACTGCTAATACCATAACGGTAATACAAACACAATAGTTTAACATATGCAACATTTAATAAAGCTGATTTAAAAACAAATATTAGCTAACCTTTCAGGGGCATTTATTGCAATTTCTCGCGTCTAACCTTGCCTTGCTTCCACACCTTATATGCTTTGTTTAAATCCACATCCTCTCCAGCATTGAGATATAATTTAATTTGCATTAGATTCTCCAAATGTGTGGCTTCAAGTCTATTTCGTGCTTGCACTTTTGTTATGTTAATAAGGCTAAAACCTTGTTCGTAATCAGCACTGCATGCTTGGAAGGTACAATAATGTCACTTAACTTTGCCAGTGAGCTAAATTGTTCTTTGTTTTGACAAATCTTGCATATTCAGACATATAATTTACAGAAACAGATCTGAGTTTTTCACTTTATCGAAATTTGAAGTCGTTGTATTGGGTGGTAATTAACTGATCATTTGTTGTACGTAACCCGTCTTTGTACTTTACGCACAGTTCTTTGATATCTTTGACGCCAAACTCAAATGCACAATTTTTTTTTTAAACCTGTAGAATAAAAAAGATGACCAAAACTGCAGTTCATCTCCTGGAAACCTAACATTTAAATGGTCGCAGACTGATTGTATGTACTGTGTGGTTTGCCTTGTGTCGATTCTTTCGTTTAACTCACACTTTTCTTGGTTTTAATGTTCAGTGTAGTACTGTGTTACGGCTGTCTCCAGAGCTAAGGCATCACTTACAGTAGGCTGAGTTATTCCACTAAAAACGGTTTTGTAGAATACAGAATTGACTGGACGAAATTTATAATAAAGGATTAGCATTTTATGTACTGTTATGCCATCGTTGATTACTTAAACAAACTCAAAGTCGTATTTCTTACTTCGCCATCTGTCTGGTATAGAAACATACTTCCCCTTGTGTTTATGAATCAGTTGTACCGACAGCATCGAGGCGTTCATCCTTATGGCAAGAAGAACATTATCCGTTAGTATTCGAACTTGATCCTCGTTTGGCCGCTGGCGCTCGTTTTGCTCAATTAGTTTTCCTCGCTCAGTGTAAGTTTCAACCAGCAGACGTTTAAGGTCAGTTCCATGTGAGCGGTTGTACGAAATCGCAACATTTCCTACGTAAACACGAGACAATAAATGACGTTTACAGTAGTCAAGCGTCCATGATTCCCAGAGCTTTCCTGTGACAAATTCGTTGCTCTTGTTGGTTTTGTTACAAGTAGTAGCAGCACAGAACTTACACTTCAGTCCAATCTCATCTGAATATTCGTAGATACTTTCTAATTCAACCGAAACATTCTTTGATCTGGCGTATCGGTTGTTACTTTAACTTTGAGCCATTCCAGTTTAAACGAATCTATCGCTTTTTTTTGTGCCACATTGTTGTACTGCTTGTTACACACATTTTTTCCCTCAACATTTTAAAATAGCACACAGTAGTGGACATTTATTCCTGATTTACCTAAGCAGTGTGTGCATACTAAAACATTTCGATCCACATGCACATAATAATCCCAAGAATCGGATATATAATATATAAATCTTTAAACCAAACACAGCAAAAACATCCACCTTAAGTAACGTAAAACTTGCATCTGACTTGGCTTAATCGTCAAAGTTTCAAGATGGGGAGGGGGGGGGGGGGGGGGGGCAAGCGACGATTAAAAAAACTTGCAGGGTCAGCTTCAATTCACAATACAATGCAGGTATTAGATGTCAGCTGCGGTCAGCTTTTGGGTAAACCATTAAATCAAGCAATGGGAGTGTCACACAGCCCCGCTCAGGTGAGAGTTAAGTCATAAACTAGACCTGTGCTATGACAACCGATGTCACCCCCCTCCCCCCCCCCCCCGTTAGTGATAAACGTAGTTTCTGTTTATACCCCAAAACACAAAGACTTCGTTTAACAAAACAGGCACTAAAAATGTCGCTTAATTCAAACTACTGGCCACAATTTTCCTTGTGAATCAGGTTTGCCCGACGTTCTGATAATCTGTGCGCGGGGTCAGAAAATGTCTGCGCGGCACATTTGAAAGTACTGCGCGGCCGCGCAGCCGCGCAGCTTAGAGGGAACACTGGTGACGGGCATTGGTTTTTTTTCTTCTTAGGTGCTATCTTTTTTTCTTTTATTAAAATAGCACATTATCTGCAAAATTAAGTTTAATTTTTTTAAAATGCAAATTGTTATGTTACACTTTCTGACCTCAATGTCCTTCCTCACAACGGTTCGATTCCTTTTTATGGACGTCTAAGTTAAATCTAGGATATATGAAGAAATAATCAACTCTCTATATATCAATAGCTTTAGCTGCCACTTACACTAAAGTCAATTTTTTAAAAAATAAACTAAAAATACTGTTTTCTTTTACCTGGTATATAAACCAAAGGGGGTGGGGACTATATAAACTTTATACGGCCTGTGGGTCATTAAGTTCAGCCCAAAGGGACAAATAGCTTGAACATTAAGATATATGTCCAAATAACGTTCATTTTTTCTTCGTGTGTTATCTCGCGGTATTTTAATCTTACAGATGATATGACTTTGATGTTGTTGTCACACGGCGTGCAGGGGCGGATCTAGGCCACTGTGGTACAGGCCACGACGGCTAGACAGGCTGAAGGTGCTGTCGTCTCGAGAAGATCCGCAAGTTTAGAACACCTCCGCTGTATAACCAAGTCTGCTAGCTGTTCTATCTTAAAACTTTGTTTCAGCCATCGCTTCGGGGGGTAGGTGAGGGGCGGCGAAAGAAATGGGAAAAATAGGGAGAGAAAATATATACATTAACCAGTGTCCGCCCCCCCCCCCCAACCGAATATTTAAGTGCCCCCCCCCCCACCCGGAGAAAAAAAGTGTTTGAAAGAAACATTGAATACAGTAAATTGGTTACTCCCATGGTAATTAATCCCATCCTTTATAAAATATATTATCCTGGTATTTGAAAGATCGGTTTAAATTCATTTCCCCAATTAACTGATTGTGTATTGCAGACAACATCCTGTGAGTTTATGCTTGCTGAAATAAAGTCTCGGTTTGTTTTGCTTCTTTGAATAAGCTTGTATTTAATTCACAGTCTGTTTGTCTGTCTGTTAGTGAGTTTCTGGCAAATTCTGAAAACCATTTTAAACCACTTTAAATACAGATATCTCTTTCAAGCTTTTCAGATACATTCGTCTCCAAAAACAACGCAAGAAAAATATTTTAAAAATCTGATTGGATATTAAAAATGTTATTAAGCTAGCAATTATTTAAAGATTTCTATATTCAATAACAAAAGGGGAAATAACAATGTTAATTGGTGTTGATTTTACTCTATGAATCGTATTCAAGGTTTTTTTCTTAACCGAGAACCAAGCACGAATTCAATTTAAGGGGAAAATAATCGCACTTTACAGTTACTGTTCGTGTTTTAGAGCAAATATTTTTAAACATGGGGATGTCGGCTTTATTAAATTTACATACCAACTAACTTCTGTATCTGTAAAATATCTATATAGTCTACTAAAAAGTGGAATAAAATTAATATTAAAAATGCTTATTACTGTAAGATGTTTAAATACACTGAGAACAAAATAAAATCTAAACATACTTTCTCTCGTTACTAAAAGCATTGGTCGCTCATAAAAGCTTTACACACTTTGGCAACCAATGGTTTTACTTAAAAGAGAAAGTTTGTTTTATATTTATATGCTATATTTTCTCCGTGCATTTCACAGCGTATTATTATAAAGGTTTTTTAAATTGTTTTATTTGAAACACAGCCAAAGCGTAGACTTGCCATTTATTTTTATACTGAAGACTTTTATAGTCTAATAATTAAGCAGAGACTGTGTCAGACATTGTGGTCATGCGAGGGTGTGTGTCGTGTGTCGTGTGTCGTGTGTCTTGTATCGTGTCGTGTGTCTTGTATCGTGTCGTGTGTCTTGTGTCGTGTGTCTTGTGTCGTGTGTTGTGTGTCTTGTATCGTGTGTTGTGTGTCTTGTATCGTGTGTCGTGTGTCGTGTGTTGTGTGTCTTGTATCGTGTGTCGTGTGTCGTGTGTCTTGTGTTGTGTGTCTTGTATCGTGTGTCGTGTGTCGTGTGTCGTGTGTCGTGTGTCTTGTGTTGTGTGTCTTGTATCGTGTGTCGTGTGTCTTGTGTCGTGTGTCTTGTGTTGTGTGTCTTGTATCGTGTGTCGTGTGTCGTGTGTCTTGTGTCGTGTGTCTTGTGTTGTGTGTCTTGTATCGTGTGTCGTGTGTCTTGTGTCGTGTGTCTTGTGTTGTGTGTCTTGTATCGTGTGTCGTGTGTCGTGTGTCGTGTGTCTTGTGTTGTGTGTCTTGTATCGTGTGTCGTGTGTCTTGTGTCGTGTGTCTTGTATCGTGTGTTGTGTGTCTTGTATCGTGTGTCGTGTGTCGTGTATCTTGTGTCTTGTATCTTGTGTCGTGTGTCTTGTATCGTGTGTCGTGTGTCGTGTGTCGTGTGTCGTTTGTCTTGTATCGTGTGTTGTGTGTCTTGTATCGTGTGTCGTGTGTCGTGTATCTTGTGTCGTGTGTCGTGTGTCGTGTGTCGTGTGTCTTGAATCGTGTGTCGTGTGTCGTGTGTCTTGTACTGAGGAATAGCCTTCAAACCCCAACGGTTCCATTACATTACTGTGAGAGGTATCTTTGACGAGGCATTGAGGAGGACACCAGACATCTCGTCCACCACAAACAGCCAGAGTTTCTTCCAGGCATCTCTACGTAGGGGCGGAGCCCCCCCCCCCCCCCGAAGAAAGTCTACCCTCCCCCTCCCCGAACGAAATGGAATTTATATGGAAAATATATACTTTTAACAGTGTCCGCCCCCCCCCCCCCGCGGAAATTTTAGTCCGCCCCCCCCCCCCGAAAATTTCAAGTGCACCCCCGGAGAAACAAGTCTGGAAGAAAGACTGCAAACAGCGTATCAACATAACAAGAAAATATTAGCAACATGCCGAACAGTGTACTATGGGGAGCGGTCATGGTAATTCGTTGGGGTTGAGGGGGGAGGAGTTGACACAGAGGGTTAATAATATCTTGGGGGAAGGGGGGGGGGGGTAAGCGGCAGGTAGGTAAAATCCAATTGCACCCGTAACCACCACGTTCACTAACCTCTGGCCTAACTTTGAAGTAAAGCCATATATATATATATATATATATATATATATATATATATATATATATATATATATATATATATATATATATATATATATATATATATATATATATATATATATATATATACATGAGACTTCAAAGCTTATCTATATCTTAGAAGAAAACAGGGTCTTTAAACACAGACCAATCGCCGCCATCACTGAACCCCACGTGACCAGTGCTCAGCTAAGTGTGACAAGATGAACGGTCCGCGGTCCATTTCCCCTATCTGATTGATTACCAGCCACTTCAAGTCCACCTCAGCCATGTGACTGGGTGCCGTGATACATAAAACCAATGTGTATTTGACCCGTGGCTTCGTCGCTCTCGTCTCACTCGTCACAGGCTCGCTGCCCACTGTACATCATGTTCAACGTGCTTGCTCTCACCCTGCTCGGCGCTGCCGTGGTCTACGGACAGATTCCTCACCACTGCTTCTCTCCACCTCAGCTCACGGTAAGATTTGTTTTCGTTATGGTCAGCATGGGTCTCTTCTTCTTCTTCTGTCGCGTTATCTAGGTGGAACATTAGGACGCCTCTAGTGTCCTTCTGATTTTTATTCCTCCGTCGGCGTGGTCGAGTCGGTAAAGCTCATGGTTGCTAAACCGAAAAGTCTCGAACCCTCGGGCAGATGAGGCTCGTTAGCTGGGGACAGTAACTCTTCTAGGAGAGGCAACTCCAAAATCAAACAACTGCTGCCTTGTAGTTTGTTCTTGTTTGGACAAAGGATATGGAAGCAAATCCAAAAAGAAAAGCAGGCTGAAATCGGAGTCAACGGCCTATAACCAGTTGACACGTAAACTTAATTGTGTTGGAAGGAATCCCACCACGAAGAAGAAGAAGTATTCCTCAATGTAATCTGTCTTCCGCAATCCACAGTGCGTCCCCAAGAATCAAACCAGTCCGTTCCATGATCTTGTCTTCCCATTTTTTCTTTCACCTTCCTCTTGTTCATAGCATGGCACCGACACTGTTCCTTGTGGAAGTTTTCGCTGACATGTGACATTTACGTACATATTTAGTATTCGGTTCATCTTAACAATTGTTAGTAGGTCATCACGATGACTAATCATACGTTGGATTATGTCATGTACTCCAAGATGGGAGATGTGGTCTTTGTATAAGATTCCTAGCAACTTTCTACATCTCACTTACATGGCTTGAATTTAACAAGTTTACCACCTTTATTCATCCGTTGAGTACTATACCTATCAGTATCATAAGTTTGTCACCTTTATTTACCTGTTGAGTTCCCCTTCCAGTTTACCACCTTGACCTATCTGTTAGTTCCGTGCCAACCCTTACAACCACGAGTTTACCACCTTTGTTTATCTATCTAGTTCCGTGCCAACCCTTACAACCATGAGTTTACCACCTTTGTTTATCTATCTAGTTCCGTGCCAACCCTTACAACCACGAGTTTACCACCTTTATTTATCTATCTAGTTCCGTGCCAACCCTTACAACCATGAGTTTACCACCTTTGTTTATCTATCTAGTTCCGTGCCAACCCTTACAACCACGAGTTTACCACCTTTATTTATCTATCTAGTTCCGTGCCAACCCTTACAACCATGAGTTTACCACCTTTGTTTATCTATCTAGTTCCGTGCCAACCCTTACAACCACGAGTTTACCACCTTTATTTATCTATCTAGTTCCGTGCCAACCCTTACAACCACATGAGTTTACCACCTTTGTTTATCTATCTAGTTCCGTGCCAACCCTTACAACCATGAGTTTACCACCTTTGTTTATCTATCTAGTTCCGTGCCAACCCTTACAACCATGAGTTTACAACCTTTGTTTATCTATCTAGTTCCGTGCTAACCAGTACAACCATGAGTTTACCACCTTCCGACGATTTGATGCTGAGTACGACGCTATGGCAGAGAAAATTGCTTTCGACGAGGTAGAACAATCTGGACCCCAGCCCGGCAGACAGTAAGTGACCCCTGACCCACATCCGGTAGATGACATGTGACCCCAACATGGACGTCTTTTTAATTTGACCAAGTTGGTAGTTGAATGTTTGGGGTTTTTAAATAGAGCCAATTAAAGATGGACTAGTGTTGTGCTAAGGGAAACAATCATAGGTTACATCACAGTTTGTTTAAGGGAGATAACAATTGTTTGGATAAGTACAACGTAGTAAGGGTGAAATCATATTAATTAGATGTTAATTAGATTAATAAATTAGATGCTAAATGTCTAGTCGAACAACAGACGCACCCATTAATGCAAATTAATATTTTCATGTTAGCAATTTTTAATTTTGATATTAAATCGGGAGTGAAATGGAGGCATACCCTCCACAACATACCATAGATCAGCTTAAGCGAACGTCTGAAATAAAAGTTATTGGATTTAGATTTTGAGTCCAATCTTAGCCGAACCCACAGCTCCGAGTTAGATCAAGTGGTGGGGTGAGCTATCTCTTGTTTACACATGCACCGACCATTTAATCTTGCATATTCTCCGCCCTCCTTAAAATCACCCGGAATAAACTCACGTTATGCATATATTTCTTTAGGTGTCCTAAAATAATAATTTAGCTCATATTTCTTTAGGTACCTTAAAATCACGAATTTGCACATATTTCTATAGGTACTCCGAAATTATTATCTTGCACAAAATTCTTTAGCAACTTCAAAATCAATATCTTGCAAAAAAATTCTTTAACTACACCAAAGATCTACCCGAAGATCATTATCTTGCACATATTTCCTTAGGTACCTGAAAATCATAATTTTGTTAATATTTTCTTAGCAACACCAAAATAAATATTTTGCACATATTTTCTTAGGTACCTTAACATCATCATCTTGCACATATCTCCTTAGGTACCTTAACATAATCTTGCACATATCTCCTTAGGTACCTTAACATCAATATCTTGCACATATTTCCTTAGGTACCTGAAGATAATAATTTTGTACATATTTTCGTAGGTACACCTAAATCAATATTTTGCACATATTTCCTTAGGTACCTTAACATAATCTTGCACATATTTCCTTAGGTACCTGAACATCATCATCTTGCACATATTTCCTTAGGTACCTTAACATCATAATCTTGCACATATTTCCTTAGGTACCTGAACATCATCATCTTGCACATATTTCCTTAGGTACCTGAAGATCATCATCTTGCACAGAGAGAACCTTGCCTTCGAGTACAACCGTCAGACCAAAGTCTGCAAGAAGTTCGATGCCGGCAGATTCTTCCCATTCGCCGTACCTGAGAACGCCACCTTTGAGGCTGAGTTCATCGTGGGCGGGCCAGGAGAGGAGGTCGAGGGTGTTGAATGGTCAGACAGGAGCTCCACCAGACGTGAGTCTCGCGCTAAGTTCGACACAATTTTTTTTAGGGTTGTCGGCAAAGTCGTTTTCTTTTAGAGTTACTTAAGAGTTACTTAACCTAGCTGTTATGGAGATTTAGGCAGAGATACAAGACCGATACTGTATTGCCCAGCAGAATATCATACACCTACCATCACTTTGTTATTATTAAAGCAGGGGCTGCAATTCCTCCACCACTATATCAGTTTTAGCAAACAACTTAAAAGCCAGCAGACGTCATCTCGTCTTTTAAAAACATTACATTTCAGCTAATTTACCCGGCGATTGTAAAATAATTTGTGTATATGACCTCTAAAACAGACTGCTAAACACCCAATCGTTACTAAATTTCCCTGTTTCCCCCAATACAGGTGAGGAATGGATCGGTGTGTTCAGCCGCATCAACTGCTACCCACTCCGCTCCTTCATCGTCAACACAAGCACCAACGAGACCCTGACCACCCTCTACTACGACTTGGTCCAAGGACTGGTTGACCCCAACTTTTTCATCCCACCCCCCGAGTGCCTGCAGGCCACCCACAAGGACGAACCCAGCTCACTGTTCAAGAGTCTTAGATCCACCTACACCCGCCGTTTTGATTAGGCTATAAACACCACCCAAAATTTAGCTGCATATACTCATTTGTGTGCCAAATAACCTGGGTTCAAATTTACTTGTAGATTTGGTCACAGGTTACATATGTAATGTTTCAAAATAACTTTCATATTCAGTAAAGTGAATATTTTTTAATACCATTCTTTACGTTTGTTTTACTTCTAATGGACAGGACGAGAGAGTGTTTTTTACATGCAATGAATGTTTGTTATTTGTTAACATTGGAAAGTCAGTACATTTATAGCAACCATAAGGGTGTGGGATGGTTGAGTGGTAGAGCTTATGACAGACAATTCTTAAGTCTCGAGTTCTGATCAAATGCTCAAGTAAGCAGTATGTGAGTCTATCCAGCTCTGATGGGTACCTGATTCACTGTAGAGAAACTAAAGCGCTTGGGCATAGTGTTAATCACAATATCCCCTGTATGCTGACATTACTGAAACAGATAAACACTCTTCTGCCCCTTGTATCTTGGGCACAAAGGGAAAAATGATAATGAATTGTCAAGTGTAATTCAACTATTAAATATACATCCAATACTTTTCCTAAAAGGTAATAAAAAATTGAGAGTAAACAAAAAGGCAGAGCTGTTTTCTAAAAAAAAAACATGTATTTAAAACCTCAATAACATTGATTAAATCAAGTTAAAAATACACAAGAAGAAAGCCATTCTGACTAAATAAATTCAATCAATTGTCTACATTATTGAATACATTTGGTTCATCAATGGTCTACATTATTGAATACATTTGGTTCATTCACTTCTGTCTAATCAACATACTGGTGGTAAATACTTAAATGCAGACATTCGTGTCTTGTATATTTTAGCAGTCCTTTAGTATAAGTACGTTAACAAAAATTGTTAACAAAAATTGCTTGGATGAAAAATCATGACATTTGGAATGATGGATGCTTAGAATTTTAATGATACACTTTTTGTACACTATTTTTACTACTATTTATCAGGCACAGAGTATCAGTATTTGCATAGCTTTTAAAAATAAATAAAAATAATTTAGGAATGTCATTTTTGTGCAATATTAAATAAACAAAAAAATAATTACAAAATAAAAAGTGATGCAAAAATATCACAGAGAATTGAGCCATATTACAAAAGTAATACACATGAGCACAATATTGATTCATTGACTAGAAATGACAAAAAGTTTTTATAAAAAAATAAAACAGGCAGACGAGATATTAAAAATTCAAATACATCTGGGATGTAGATTCTAACTTCAATTGAAAAACCACTTATAAAAAAGACAATAAATATTAAACTGTTTTGGCTTTACTGGATATTCATTCAAGGACATAGTAATCACATTATCTACAATTCTTAAGATAAGAATAGACACTATCTCCTGATCCACTAGTCAACAGCTGAGTGAGTGAAAAGCCACAGAGCTCTCACAACTCCGTCTTGCTCTTGCCTTTACAATAGTTCCTGCACAGCTCCTGTTCAAATGTGCTCTCTGGCTCACTCCACATGGCGTAGATCCCATCTTCCTCGTACTCACCAACAAGCTCCTCACACAGTTTCTGCATCCTGGTGAACAAAAAAACAAAACAATCATTGTTAACATTTAGAGGTGGAATGTTTGTAAACATTTTCTGCATCCTGGTGAACAAAACAAAACAATTATTGTTAACATTTAGAGGTGGAATGTTTGTAAACATTTTCTGCATCCTAGTGAACAAAAAAACAAAACAATCAACAATCATTGTTAACATTTAGAGGTGGAATGTTTGTAAACATTTTCTGCATCCTGGTGAACAAAAAAACAAAACAATCATTGTTAACATTTAGAGGTGGAATGTTTGTAAACATTTTCTACATCCTGGTGAACAAAAAAACAAAACAATCATTGTTAACATTTAGTGGTGGAATTTTTGTAAACATTATCTGCATCCTGGTGAACAAAAAAAACAAAACAATCATTGTTAACATTTAGAGGTAGAATGTTTGTAGGCCTACACATTTTCAGCCAAGAAGAATTTTAACATGACTGGAGTAATAGATCAGTTTTCACAAACAGACAGCGTAATGTTGCATGTTGATTCACTGATACAACAGATCAACCCCAGAACTCAACACATCCACAGGCCATCATTTACTGTATTATAGGCAGTCAAGATGTGATGTTCCTTAGGTTCAAACATTTGTTTCTTGTCTACTACAAAAAATCCTATTACCCAACATCATCCTAACATCCCCTGATATAAAAAAGCCTAAATGCGTAATTGTTCTATGGATCACTGGCTTGATATAAGAAAGCTATTGACAATTCTATGATATATCAGTGCCTGATAATAGAAAGATGACTACACAGTTATTCTATGGATGACTGTCCTGATATAATAAAGCTAGTGACACAATTGTTCAATGTATACTATATCAGTGTAACAACTTTGTATTTTAAAAAAAAACAACTGAAAGGCTTGTTCTGCTGAATTCCTTAGTACAATATGATAAACAAAAAACAGTTTACTATATAACACTGCACCATATCATATAACAACATAACACGTGACAGACAAAGCCTGCCTACACATCAACAAACAGGGTAAAATTGTAGCAATAAAAATTATGTTCTTGAAACTTAAACCTGAATTTCTACACTGCTCCAGACAAATGTATCACCAGTTTCAGCAATAATTTTTAAAAACACAATTAATAACATGACATCTTGATACAACATTGACTTAGTATTGTTAATTTATCTAATACTATAAATAGATGAGACTTTACCTTCTCTTCCAAAGACCTCCAGCATCTACCATGCCAGACATCATTGCCGTTTCCAGACCTGGGGCTGAGAATTTGTTCTCTCCAAGCACACTTTTCAACCCAAATCTATAGACAAATAAATCTCATTCACAAACTTGGAACATTTTTGGTGTATAGCATACATAAACTGAATCACAAATCTATTTTAACAACAAAAAATAAATGGCATGTTATGTTATATTCAATTATACATACAATAAGGTCAAATACTTGTCAGTATCCATTGGTTGCACTAGGAAAGTTGTTGATAAATGTCATGTGTGCATATGTATTGCAATATAAAAAAATATATATATTCAAATATGAGTGATTGTTTGGTCTTCTGAACAGCATAAGTCATTTTTAAATATGTTCCAAGTCCATATAAGCCCATAGTATAAACTAAGAAAAGAGATTAAGAAAGTATGTGTTGTACAGGTATATATAAAAGATGCTTGCAATCACATAAAAAGTATTTTAGTAAAGATGAATAGATGAGGAATATTAGTACAACATATAACAGCTTTAAGGAAGAGAAAGTTAATATTGAATACCTACTCTTTGTATTCATCTTGACACTGTTGCTCTACATGATCTAAAATTTCAACATATGAGAGCTTACCACTTTTCTTCTTACTTTCAGCTTTGGAGAACAGATTGGTGAACTGAAAAATAAGAATTATAATCAAACATAGTGGTGATATAAATGAACAAAAAGATTTGTTTGTTAGGAAGTTCATGGAAGATCTAAAAAAATAAAGCAAGTTATTTCAAGATTTAATTTTTAAAAAATTCCTACATTTCTTTTCTAAATTAATCTTGCAAAACATTTTTTTTTAAATTAATATCCAATATAAGAGATCAACATGCCATAATGGTGCAAATAATAAAATTACATATATACATTTCTGCTTTTTATCATTAAATTGGATTAAACAGTACTTTTTTAAAATATATGTATACTTTTTCAAAAATGTTATCTATAATTCTGGAATTGTAAAATTAATAAATATCGGTCTAGTTCTACGACAAAGAATAACATTCTTGTTAAGGGCAGCATCACAGATTTAGCATTGCATTAGTATTAAAACATATGTAATATAAAATCCGTATTTTGTATTATGATAAAAGTTAAGAAAGAGTAATAACAAGCAGACTTAATACTGTACCAAACGATATGTCTGGTTAAAATAGCCAGCCATAGGCTATGGCTATATGGACCCAAGTACAAAAAATGCCCATTGGATATATGGGTAAAATCACGATACAGCGTCGGTTATTATTCCGGAACTGTACAGCAGTAAAAAACAGTAAAACCATGGCGTAGTCTGTCGAGCCGTTCCGGAAACCACAGGAAATACTGTAAACCATCATTTATTTGCCGCCATATTATTTTTAATACATAATGTTTAAAAATGTGCAAGGATTGATTTTAGTTGCATTTTAAATACTGTTTTGCTAATTATTTTGTATTTCTAATTTTTTTAAGTGTATGTGCTAATTATTGCTGCTAATAAACATTATTCTAGTTATTCTTACTACTTCTAACTTTAGTTAATCTAATCGTCTTATTTACTAACAGAACTAGAGCTGGTTGTCGCAAATCTTCTGCAGGTTTTTTCTGTTTCTTAAAAAAAACATTAATTACTACACTCGACTTTATTAATAATATTTAGATTTACTAATTGTTGCTAATTTTTTGTCAGTTAAACATTAAATTAAGTTAAAACATTAATTTAATGCATTTGACTTTATTTTTTTTTCATCGGTCAAATAAACTATGGTTTACACTAGTTTACAGTAACGAATGTTACCAAAACTCAACGAACATTACCCAATAATTTCCGACGCTATATCGTGATTTTACCAATATATGATTATAGTATAGGACATGGAAGGAAGAAGATTAGATCTAGGGTAAAATCACGAGATAGCGTCGGTTATTATTCCGGAACTGTACAGCAGTAAAAAACAGTAAAACCATGGCGTAGTCTGTCGAGCCGTTCCGGAAACCACCGGAAATACTGTAAACCATCATTTATTTGCCGCCATACTATTTTTAATACATAATGTTTAAAAATGTGCAAGGATTGATTTTAGTTGCATTTTAAATACTGTTTTGCTAATTATTTTGTATTTCTAATTATTTTAAGTGTATGTGCTAATTATTGCTGCTACTAAACATTATTCTAGTTATTCTTACTACTTTTAACTTTAGTTAATCTAATCGTCTTATTTACTAACAGAACAAGAGCTGGTTGTCGCAAATCTTCTGCAGGTTTTTTCTGTTTCTTAAAAAAAAAAATAATTAATTACTACACTCGAGTTTATTAATAATATTTAGATTTTCTATCTGTTATTAATTTTCTGTCAATTAAACTGTAAATTAAGTTAAAACATTAATTTAATGCACTTGACTTTATTTTTATTTCACCGGTCAAATAAACTATGGTTTACAGTAACGAATGTTACCGAAACTAAACGAACATTACCCAATAATTTCCGACGCTATATCGTGATTTTACCAGATCTAGAAATGCTAAATAATTTTAAAATGTAAAATTAGTGTCACACACATGGTATCACTATCAGAGTATCAGCCTACTTGGAGTGTCCAACCTGAGTCTAACCAGCTAACTAACTGCTAGGCCTAAGCCCAGAAAGTTGAAGGAACACTTCAAGCTAAAAACATGTCTGGATCTTGATTCTACTATTAGATCTAGATCTAGAGAATCTACTACTAAACTAATGATAATGAAGAAATAATAAAAATAAAAAGACTAGATTTTTAAATAAAATTTTGGAAGTTAAAAGTTAATTTTAAAAAATTAGTTACAATCTAGACTCTAGATCTAGACTAGATCTAGATCCTGATCTCGAATCTAGAGCCTAGGCGGCCTAGCTAGGGGTAGGTCCTAACATTAAAAAAAAATTAGTAGCCTACCTGAATGGCTATTGCTCGACAAGCATCACAGCGGTAGGCTTGAGGCATGAATTTAGATCCTTCATCCTCATCAGTAAGCTTTGGAGGACTTAAAATAATAGCATCATCAGACATTTCATCTGGGTTCATTCCCGTTTGTTCCTTCAGTCTCGCCAGTTCTTCAGGGCTCAGGTCTTTCTTACGCTGAGCTACTACAAGTGCAAAAATTAGAAACAGCAGAGCAACTTCTCTCCAAACCATTTTTAAGATCAGACTCACTTATTTAAAAAGAAAAAGTCAATTTCAATATAACACTTAGAGTGTAGAATCTGGATTCTCTGAATCGATTCCTTTGACGGATGAAATGCTTTGCAGTAGCGGTAGCCTTAATCTAACGGTTGTTGTTTACACAAAAGTTGAACGGGAACCTGTAGTGCTTTAAAAACATTACGACTAGAAACGAATTAAATGGTAGTTTATACAAAATGAAAGTAGATAAATACACTGAGTCATTTTATGTCAATTACAATTTTTCCTTTACTAAAATTGAATAATATCTCAGAAGCTTTAGGTGAAAATTTAAATTTATTTTTTAATCGCGCTAATTTAATACACCAAATGACTCTTAGGGGTCGTCCATATAGGCCCTATAACGTCACACTCGTAAAAAAAAAGGGGGGGGGGGGGAGAGGTCCATAATTTTGTGACACTATATAATGAAGGGGAAGGGGTGGCGGTGTTTAGATGGTGTGACGGCATACTTTTGCAATATATAAAAGCAATGTTATAAAACTAATTTTAGCCGTTATCTCACGGTTTAGAAAACTGTTTTAATAAATTGTAGTTAATGTAATAGAAATTGCTTAAAATACTCTATCTTGACAGAAAAGCTTGAATTGAATTAAAAAATTGTTTTATCCACCACTAACGCGAAGCTTCTTCTCCTTACAGTGTTTTAGACTGGGGGGTGGGGGGGGGGGGGGTGACACAACTGAAAGCAGCAAGTAACAGACTTTTAAAACAGGAACCAGCCCTCATCGGTGTTTACCATGATCTAAAAAACTAATGGAGATTAACAGCCAAGAGTTAGCCAGTCTACCCTATGATGTCATGCGGGAGTGAGTGTGTGTGTGTGTGTGTGTGTGTAAATTTATGTCTGTGAGAGCGAAATGGAGAGGGGGGGGGGGGGGTCCTGTTTTTTGTTACTACGATATTTGACTGAATTAAACCGCCTTTTTTCCCCAAGGAATTATTTTTGTGAATTGCAATAAAATAGACCAATATAAGCCTATCCTTGATGTTGAACGAGCTCGATAAATACTTCAGAAAAGAAATCGTTTTAAAATAAAACAAGCAAAAATGCAATATTGAGGGGGGTAGGGATGGTAGATATAGTATGCTGTGATGTGACGTCATTTTAGCTGGGGGGGGGGGGGGGGTCTGACTTTTTCTGACTCTGCCTGGGATTGGGGGTGGGGAGTGGGTGGGTTGTAGGTGGGTGGGGGGGGGGGATTAGTTTAAAACAGCGTGACGTCGTTTATGGACGACCTGCCTGCCAAGAAAGGGTGCGGGGGGGGGTCGTCTATAAATGACGTCACATTCCCTCTCGGGTAGACTTGTGACGATGTGTGAAGAAGTGGAGCAGAGTTGCTTTGGATATCTCGGGGGGGGGAACGTCCACCCACCGGACGAAATTTTAGTGATTAAAAGAGTTTTTAAAAAAGCAATTGGGATGGGGGCGGTGAGTGCCAAAATCGGCACACACACACACAAAGCGTGAAATTTTTAAGGGGACTTGAATGGCATTTTGCAAAGAGACTACAAATTCAAGAACGTTCGAGAACTCAGTGGAAACATACTCATTTAAACTCATAGCGTATCACAAAATAAAATAAATGAACAATAAAAACGCTAATTCTTTTTTATTATGAGATATAGTTAACAATTATTACCAAAATAAAAACATCGCAAATGTACAGGAAAATATTAGGCAGTTTAACGAATGTCAATTATTTACAAATAATTTACATAGTTATATACAGTTTACAGCAGTTTAATTCACGGCTATATTTTACAGGTCAACTCTGAACGGGGGACTAAAGTCGTTTAATGCATCCTTTGCTTCTCGGCAAGTACACAAATATACACAAAACACATTGAAAGCCGTTTCAATATGTACACGAATCAGCGGGCAATTAAACATAAAAAACGAAAATAATCAAATTCAGACTCTAAAGTAGTCAAGTACCAATATGACATTGTACGTACAATACTATTTACAGATAGCTTGTCTCAGCAATACGCATACAACATAATCCTAGGCTAATACTTTTTTTATCGCACACATATTCTACACCATAATCCTAGGCTAATACTGTTGATCACACACATACAGCATACTCATAAGCTAATACTTGTTAATTTACAATAATATGACCAGTGTTTCTTCCGGGATCCTGACACGAGGGGGGGGGGGGGGGGGGGGCGTCAACATTTTCCGGGTGGGGGGGGGGGGGGGGGCGGGGGGCGGGGGGGGGCGGACATTGTTAAAAGGTAAAAGTATATATTTTCGATATATTTTCCATTTCGTTCGGGGGGGGGGGGGACTTTCTTCTGGTGGGGAGGGGGGAGGATTTGGGGCTCCGCCCCCCCCCCCCCCTCGAAGAAATGCCTGGAAGAAACCCTGAATCTCGTGGAGCATAGTACAGATGAAGTAGAGTTTATTGATTATCATAAATATGATAATGATATTCGGGTGAGCCCCAGCCGAGCCCATGTGTGAATACGCCTAAAGTTATTAATTATAGCTCTAGAATATATTACATCTTTACAAAAGTTACACCATCATGCAGGCTACACATCTGATTTTAGTTTCAATAATAGCGCTGGACAGTTATTATATGTAGCTTCTAATAATTTAACTATTGCCATACAAACACATAATATCATGTCAACAAATCATATAACACACTATGTGCTACACACAGTCTACTCATGTAACACACACAATGGCCCTCACATCAAGTCTACCATGTAAGACACACTATGCCCCCCACATAAAGTCTACCATGTAACACACACTATGGCCCCACACATCAAGTCTACCATGTAACACACACAATGGCCCTCACATCAAGTCTACTCATGTAACACACACTATGGCCCCCACACATCAAGTCTACCATGTAACACACACTATGGCCCCCACACATCAAGTCTACCATGTAACACACACTATGGCCCCCACACATCAAGTCTACCATGTAACACACACTATGGCCCCCACACATCAAGTCTACCATGTAACACACACTATGGCCCCCACACATCAAGTCTACCATGTAACACACACTATAACCCCCACACATAAAGTCTACCATGTAACACACACAATGCCCCCACACATCAAGTCTACCATGTAACACACACTATGGCCCCCACACATCAAGTCTACCATGTAACACATACAATGCCCCCACACATCAAGTCTACCATGTAACACACACAATATAACACACACAATGCTCTCACACATCAAGTCTACCATATAACACACACTATGCCCCCCCAAACAAAATCTACCATGTAACACACACAATGCCCCCACACATCAAGTCTACCATGTAACACACACAATATAACACACACAATGCCCTCACACATCAAGTCTACCATGTAACACACACAATATAACACACACAATGCCCTCACACATCAAGTCTATCATGTAACACACACTATGTACCCCCACACACTCACCCTAAATTGTTTATCGTAGAAGACCCAGGTCTGTGGCATGAATTTCCCTCTTAATAAAGTCGCTATTTCTCTTTCATGGGAATGGAATCGAGTGGAATTTGGGCGGCTGCTTTGTCTTATTAATCCCTAAATCTACCACTTATCCCAGTCTGCATGCCCTATTTGCGCGACCAAGTCAGCAAACCATCAGTAAGGGAGTGAAAAGTGTATTACCAAAGCTATAAAATACATCTACCATTTCCCTCGTCTATTCGGCAGCTGCCGCGTGTAATTAAAGAACACCAACTTTCTCCACAGTTCACATCTAACATTTGTTTCTACTAGCGTCTGCCACAGTTCAGTTCTAACATTTGTTTCTTTTAGCGTCTGCCACAGCTCACGTCCAACATTTGTCTTTTCTGGCGCCTGCCGCGTGTAATAAAAGAACCCCAATTTTCTCCACAGTTCACGTCTAACATTTGTCTATTCTGGTGCCTGCCACGTGTAATTAAAGAACCCCAATTTTCGCCATAGCTCACACTTCTCAAAATACTCCTCATCCACCGGCGCGACAGTGACGTCAGTGCCGATGACGCCAGTGTTAACATCCACCGTCTGCCACCTCGACGCATCCGGTCGGCCATCTTTGACAAAACTGAGAACCTGTTCCCGAATGACGTTCTGGAAATTAACGTCCCCTTGCCCCTCGACGTAATCCAACTCCCTGAAACTGTTGAAGAAAACCGCGACGTCCCAGCCAACGAAAGTGTTCTGCGGCTCGCTGGCTAGCTTGACCTTGTGGGTGGGGTAGATCTCACCCACATACATGTACACGGGCGAGGTTCTCCTGTTGAGGTACGCGAAGTCCTTGGCTATGATTCGCACCGGACAGATGCTCCGGATGTCGCCCAACATGTGCGCAAGTTGCGCGCTCGGCAGCGGAGGAAACTTGGCCGGGCCGGAGTAGGCGATTTTGAAATCGTGCGAGTATAGAGTTTTGATTTGGTTCAAGGCTTGGTAGCCGAAGTCGCTCAGGTAGGTGTCGAGAATTGTGTCGTATTCTCCCCATGTCAGCCCGATGTATTTGTCTTCTGATTTGAGACTGCTCAGATCAAAGTAGGAGGTACCTGAAAACATACAAGTCAGGTTTAGTTTAGATGGTCTGGCGAAGTTGTAGCCTATAGATTCACTTTGACATATCAACTATAGTTTGTGTTACCTCCCTTAGTTTTTACTGAATGTATATTTTGCTTATTTTTTAATTGTACTTTAACTTTTTCAAATAAATTTAATTTGAGTTAGTTCCCTTAATACATATAGAATGTAATTCTTTTCATATTTTAAACTGTAGTAACTACTGTGTTATCTACTTTCCAGTATTTGTTAAATCTCCCATATCTTACATTGAACGTGTTCATGCTTCAAAGATCAGTGGTATGAGTTACTTCCCCTAAGATCTATACAATGAGTGGTTTCCCCTATTATTAACAAACTATGGTTGATTAAACTAGCAAACATTCTATCTATGGCATTAAAACAAAACCCGCAAGTAGACAGAAAAAAACTATTCACTTAAAAACAATAGTTCCAAAAAAGTTACGCTCACTGTTTTTTTTAACACTGATTTAAAAAAGATATAATTTTAAGACTTGTTGTATTTCCCTATCATATACGTGTTTATTAACGACTAGCCATCTCACGTGAACCACAAACATCCACCTGTACTCACCAAAGATGACTGGCACCACGGGTCCCTGAGGTCCGTTAGTAATGGAGGCGGACTTGACCACGTGACCTGGTTAGAAACAAATTCCAGTGAGTTACTATCTATACGTTAAGTTCACGCTATAAGCTATGTAAACACTCAGGTGTAAAATTAACTAAACACGGAGTCCTATACAATAGACCCCCCCCCTCTATACAAATATGTGTAAATAGTCAAAATTTAAAGCTTGAGGGTTTAAGGTTTTAAGCCAAGTATTTTTTAAGAAAATATGCATTTTTGTCTTAATATGCTATAGTCTAAACGTTTATGCTAGGGGGAGGGCGTTACATAATAACAATTGTTTGTATAGTTTTTAGTACCCTTCAGCCTCTTTTAGCACACACTTAAAGTCAAAAACCCACTCTTTTGTTTAGAAGTTTGTGTGTTTAGTACTTAGATGGGAGAATACACCTCGTCCCTGGCCACAATGACAAAACAAACAGCGTCAGATTTGCCAGGTTGTCACTGAGCAGCCACCTACCATCGAATATGGCCAGCCCGTTGCGAAACTGACTGGCCGCGGGCACGTGAAAAATCTGGTCAAGCGTCCACATGGGCTCCAGCGGCCATGGAGATGACGTCATGACCTGGTAGGAGGACAACTTCCGGAGACACTCGAGGCTGCTGCAGCCAGAGTTGGCCAGGAACTTCCGGTTGTCGTGGCATGCCTGATCTGAAAGAAGGTATAATATATTTACTAGCGAGAGTATAGGGCAACATCGTAGCTACATACCTCGCTGACAACGTTGTCACTAAGGGGAAAAAGCTAGTCAGCAACGTGTATTTTCTGTGCGCGGTGTCCAGGGGTCTTAAACAAGGTTTTACGTATTTTTCAAAATGGCAGTTAAAAACTACTGCGCGGCCGTGCAACCGCGCAGCTTAGAGGGAACATTGCTCGCGAACAGGGTATAGGGATAACTTACGGACTCGGGCCCGGGATCCGAACTCGAGACTTGCCGTCTATCAGGCGTACGCTCTACAATTCGACCACGCCGTTCCTAAACAACATGTAAAGGGTCTGCTAATCCTGGGTCCCTGGATAGAGTCGTAGCACGTCCCTGAGTCCACCCAGCTCTGATGGGTACCAGACTCATGTTAGGGAAAGTAAAGGCGGCTGGGTATAGTGCTGACCAGATACCCATGTCACAGAAACAGGTGAACTCTACTTCATCTGCTCCGTGGGCCGCCAGGTTCGAAATGAGAACTTTACCTTTTTTGCCACACACAGCAAACAAAAAAACAAAAACCAAAAAAAAAAAACAACAACAAAAAAACAGACAGACAAACAGACAGACAAACAAACAAACACACAAACAAACAAACAAAAGGATCATTTACTTACCGAGAGTTTTATTTAACACCGAGACGGGACTGGTCAGCCAGGCTTTATGGAACAGTCCAGAACTTTTCGGCGACAGCATCAACGCTTGAATGGACGTTGCGCCAGACCCATGGCCAAACACGGTTATCTAACACAACAAAAACACAGAACGGACACAATTATTCCACCCAACTACCTGAATGAACCACAGACAAGGAAGTAAAATAAAATTTTGTACAGTTAACTATCTCAGATTACACGAGATTATTTCATCCAGCTTACAAGTGCACATGCACACGCGCAAGCACGTGGAAATATCTTGTAGAGAATACTGTCGACCTGGGGCTAACCCCCCAGTAACTATGCCACCACCTTCACTACAGGTAAAAAAAAACGTACAAGATTATATCTATTTCAGTCTAGTTTTATAAATATTTGTATATGTAAACTATGTCAGAAACCTATCAGAAATTACACACAGTGTATGTGTAATTTTTCCAGAAACCTACCAAAATACATTGTGTATTTATTCTATGCCATAAACTTAACAGAAATACACACTGTGTATATGCAATGTATGTCAGAAACCTACTATAACTCTAAAGTATATGTGTAATCTATACCAGAAACATTCTAGAAATACACAAATTGTATGTGTAATCTATGTCATAAACCTACCAGAAATACACACAGTGTATATGCAATCTATGTCAGAAACCTACTATAAATACACAGTGTATGTGTAATCTATGCCATAAACCTACTCTAATTAGACAGTGTAAATGTAATCTAAGCAAGAAAAATAGTATAAATACACAGTGTATATGTAATTTATGCCATAAACCTCCCAGAATTAATCACAGTGTATGTGTAAACATTGCCAGAAACCTACAAGAAACGCACATATAATAGTACATGTCATCTACGCCATTAACCTGGCAGAAACACATCAAACCAGAGGCGTAGCGACCCTTCCCGGCGCCCGAGGACAAAATTTCAATTTGGCGCCCCCCCCCCCCTCGGGAACAACCTTTCAATTTTCAATTTGCACCCCCCCCCCCCTTTAAACTTTCAATTTGTTTTCCCAACTCATTTTGGCACCCCCCTAAGGTCGGCTCCCGGGGACATATGTACCCCCCCCGTCGCTACGCATCTGCATCAAACAGATCCCCCAGCACAAGACTTACCAGGTTCTCATTGCCCCCAAAGTACCGGATGTTCTCCCTGACCCACGTGAGCGCCATCTGCTGATCCATCAGCCCGTAGTTCCCCGCGGATTTCTCCTGGCCCTCCCGCAGCTCGTCCAGTGCCAGAAACCCAAAGGCACCGAGCCGGTAGTTGAAGCTGACGTACACGGTTTGTGTCGTCACGGACAGGCTCGCCGTGGGGGGACATGCCGGGCATATGCCCGGAGCCGTAGACGAAATCTCCGGAGTGGATCCAGACCATGACCGGATGTAGTTCCTTCGGGTTTAAAGATGGCGTCCAGACGTTCAAGTACAGGCAGTCCTCGTGGCCGTCCATTTTGGTGACGTCACCGAAGCGAGGCTGCGCGCAGACGGAGCCGTAGCGCGTGGCGTTGAGGATGTTGGACCAGCACGTGCCCGAGGCGGGGCTGATGGGGGTGGGCTGCTTCCACCGGCGGCTCCCGGTGGGCGGGGCGGCGTAGGGAATCCCCTGAAACACCGTGGCCCCGGATTCCGGGAAACCCCGAACTATGCCGCATGTCGTGTAGGCGACGTAGTCACCCAGTAGCTGAGGAAAATAATCGGGAGTTACCGAAATGTATTTATAGAATTTCTTACACAAAAAAGTTAAGGGCTCATAAACAGAGTTTCTTCCAGGCATCTCTTTTAACAGTGACCGCTCCCCCCTACCCCCCCCCCCCGGGAATTTTAGGCCACCTCCCCGAAAAATTTCAAGTTCCCTCGGGAGAAAAAAATTTGGAAGAAACACTGCTAGTAAAAGCAGTACAAGAATACTTTAGATACAGTATAATCCATCTTTTTTTAAAATAATTAAATCAATGATGGGTTTGCGTTTTCGATTGCGATTTATAAATACTCTGACAAAATTTTTTTTTATTTTTAGTAAAATGGGGAAAAACCTTAGAAATACCCTAATGAAAATTTGCTGTTTGTTTTCGCCAATAAAATTGTAAAAGGAAATCAAAACAGGTGAACTCTACTTCATCTGCCATACTG